TAAACTGGCAAATGAACCTTTGTTGTAAACAGAGATTATTCTCAAGCTAATCTTTAATGTAATAAAAATTGTTAGTTTAAATTTTAAAGTGTGTGTGCTGAAAACGTTTTCTTTGAAGAATTTGGTTTTCTGTAAACGGAATGTGTGGGCACACTGAAACAGTTTTAGAATTCCATATTTCACCTTATCGTCAATAATACATCGTATTAACATAACCAAACGTAATGAAACCTAACTAAACTTTACGCTAAAGTAACCTTAACCCAACCTAACCACGGATAGAGAGTAGATAAAGCACAAACTATGCTGTCGTTCTCAATCCATTCCTTTGAGGGGGATCCTGTCCCTGAGGACAAGTTGTCACACGTACGCTACCACAGCATTACTATCGGCCGCTGTCAGCTACATAACATGTGTGGACAGGATCTGAGTCTCTCATAGCTACACAGCGTGGTTGTGGGCCACTGGGAGCCACACTGACCCTGGCAGTATGGCTGTGGCCCTCTGGGAGCCACACTGACCCTGGCAGTATGGCTGTGACCCTCTGGGAGCCACACTGACCCTGGCAGTATGGCTGTGGCCCTCTGGGAGCCACACTGACCCTGGCAGTATGGCTGTGGCCCTCTGGGAGCCACACTGACCCTGGCAGTATGGCTGTGGCCCTCTGGGAGCCACACTGACCCTGGCAGTATGGCTGTGACCCTCTGGGAGCCACACTGACCCTGGCAGTATGGCTGTGGCCCTCTGGGAGCCACACTGACCCTGGCAGTATGGCTGTGGCCCTCTGGGAGCCACACTGACCCTGGCAGTATGGCTGTGGCCCTCTGGGAGCCACACTGACCCTGGCAGTATGGCTGTGGCCCTCTGGGAGCCACACTGACCCTGGCAGTATGGCTGTGACCCTCTGGGAGCCACACTGACCCTGGCAGTATGGCTGTGACCCTCTGGGAGCCACACTGACCCTGGCAGTATGGCTGTGACCCTCTGGGAGCCACACTGACCCTGGCAGTATGGCTGTGACCCTCTGGGAGCCACACTGACCCTGGCAGTATGGCTGTGACCCTCTGGGAGCCACACTGACCCTGGCAGTATGGCTGTGGCCCTCTGGGAGCCACACTGACCCCTGGCAGTATGGCTGTGGCCCTCTGGGAGCCACACTGACCCTGGCAGTATGGCTGTGACCCTCTGGGAGCCACACTGACCCTGGCAGTATGGCTGTGACCCTCTGGGAGCCACACTGACCCTGGCAGTATGGCTGTGGCCCTCTGGGAGCCACACTGACCCTGGCAGTATGGCTGTGGCCCTCTGGGAGCCACACTGACCCTGGCAGTATGGCTGTGGCCCTCTGGGAGCCACACTGACCCTGGCAGTATGGCTGTGGCCCTCTGGGAGCCACACTGACCCTGGCAGTATGGCTGTGGCCCTCTGGGAGCCACACTGACCCTGGCAGTATGGCTGTGGCCCTCTGGGAGCCACACTGACCCTGGCAGTATCAGTCATGCAGTAATAAAGCTTACATAAGGGGACTCTTACTTAGCCATCAATAAAAGAGCATTAGGGCGGCAAACAGGGAGGTAATGATGGCAGCAATTTATGGCGGGAGTGTGTCTCACTGAGCTGTCGCCCGCCCGCCCCGCCCACCGCCTCCCGCCATTACTCTTCCCACAACACGCCGCACCTGCTCCTCACGCCCACTGTCTCCAACTGGCAGCCAGTGTGTCAGCATGTTGGTGCCAGAGTGTCAGCATGTTGGTGCCAGAGTGTCAGCATGTTGGTGCCAGAGTGTCAGCATGTTGGTGCCAGAGTGTCAGCATGTTGGTGCCAGAGTGTCAGCATGATGGTGCCAGAGTGTCAGCATGTTGGTGCCAGAGTGTCAGCATGTTGGTGCCAGAGTGTCAGCATGTTGGTGCCAGAGTGTCAGCATGTTGGTGCCAGAGTGTCAGCATGTTGGTGCCAGAGTGTCAGCATGTTGGTGCCAGAGTGTCAGCATGTTGGTGCTTGAGTGTCAACATGTTGGTGCCAGAGTGTCAGCATGTTGGTGCCAGAGTGTCAACATGTTGGTGCCAGAGTGTCAGCATGTTGGTGCCAGAGTGTCAGCATGTTGGTGCCAGAGTGTCAGCATGATGGTGCCAGAGTGTCAGCATGTTGGTGCCAGAGTGTCAGCATGTTGGTGCCAGAGTGTCAGCATGTTGGTGCCAGTGTGTCAACATGATGGTGGAGATGGTGGCAGAGGTGGCGGAGTGGTGGCGGTGATGGTGGAAGATGAACATGACACAAGGGAGTATATAGCATGCAGTGTGTAGGGAAGTAGGGTTGACTGTGGTGGTGGTGGTGGTGGTGGTGGTAACTACACAAATGTGGGGCAGATGGCGCTGATGTTCCTGTTATTGTGTGTGTGTGTGTGTGTGTTTAGTTCGCCCGCGTGACGCTATTGTCCCCGCGGCCTCTGTTGCTGCTGTTAGAGTAACGCCTCCCTCTCTCGGTCACGATATTATTGTTA